TGGGGACAAACTGTAATCTACTTTTATTATTTTGCATGTGGGTTTTCAATTTTCCCAGCACCATTTATTGAAGAGGCTTTCTTTTCTCTATTGTGTATTTTTTGGCTTGTTTGTCAAACATTATCTGCCCATATACATGTGGTTTTGTTTCTGGGCTCTCAATACGCTCCTTGGATCTGTGCATCTGTTTTTCTGCCAGTGCCATGCCTTTTTTTTTTCCTTTTATTGATTTTAGAGAGGGAGGAAGGGAAAGAGAGAGATACATCCATCAGTTGCCTCCCGTATGCACCCTGACTGGGGATCAAACCCGCAACCAAGGTATGTGCCCCGACCAGTAATCAAACCCTTGACATTCTGGTACATGGGATAATGTTCCAACCAACTGAGACACACTGGCCAGGGTGCCATGCTGTTTTAATTTTTGCAGTCCTGTAGTATAATTTAAAGTCAGTTAGTGTGCTACCTCCTTCTTCATTCTTTTTTCTCAGGATTGCTTTGGCTTTTTGGGGTCTTTTTGATTCCACATAAATCTGATGATTTTTGTTTGTTTTATTTCTTTAAAAAATGACATTGGGATTTTGATGGGAATTGCACTAAATCTGTATATTGTTTTGGGTAATATGGCCATTTTAACTATGTTGATTCTTCCCACCGATGAACACAGAATATCTTTCCATTTTGTTGTATCTTTTTCAAACTCTGTTAATAATGCATTGTAGTTTTCAGTATATAGGTGTTTCACATCCTCTGTTAAATTTATTTGTAGGTATTTTATTATTTTGTTTCAATTGCAAAAGTAATTTTTTAAAATTTCTTTTTCTGAGGCTTTGTTGTTAGTACGTAGGAACGCAGTGTATTTTTTGTACATTGATTTTGTATCCTGCAACTTTACTATATTTGTTTATTGCTTCTAATAGTAGTTTCTTGGTGGCGTTATATAATAATTTTTTAAGAGTCAAATATGTGTAAAAATTTAAAAACAAGGATATTCAGCACTGTTTTACTGATAATTAATACAAAAAGCCACCTACATGGAAAACCAGTGCTGAGACAGGTTCCATACATTATGTAACAAAGAAATTTGTTGCAGCTATTAATGACCACATTTAGGACAGGAACTTCACAGTGTAAAAACAAAAAATGTGCTGTATATATTATGGGAAACCCAGGTGGCAGAAATATTTACAGCATAGCACCAATTTTCTTAATGCGTGTGTGTATACTATAAACAAATGATTGGATGCAGGTTTGTGGAAACATTGTTATCTTTCTATAATAGATTTTTAAGCAATTTAAAATTCCTTCTGTGAGTTTTCTGTTATTTTACAAATCCTCTGAATTAACACGCACTATGCTTAAAATCACAAGGCTGTTTTTACACTCATATTTCTGTAACAAATGACCGGTCATTGCATGCAGACCTGTTTTCCACATCTGTGCCTGTGGAGAATGAGTCAGCTGATCTCTGTGGGTCTTTCTGTCTCTGAAGTTCTATAACATAGCTTATGAAAAACAAAGGCAATGCTAAGATGCATACACACAGGCAGAGAACAAGACAAAAAACCCAAAGGATGTCATAGTGAGAAAGAATGAGTTTCAGCGAGAGGGAGTCCAGGTGTTTTTTAGTAGAAAATCCCCTGTGGACCCACTCAAGGAGCCCTTGGCCTGTGTGTGGTCATCTTAGCATCACTGTCTTTTTAAAGTGATAATGTTGATGATAATGAATAAACAATAAGTATAAATAAAATATAGTGCTTACTTTGTGACAGGTACTGCATCCTGTGTACACATTTCATTTTGTATCTAAAGAAAGTCATAGAAATTAAATAAAATGCCAAAGGTCTCATGACTATTATCCACACTTACAATGTTTCTTATGCTTTCTGGAATTTTAATTAAAATTTATCTTTTACTTTATTTTTAAATTTAAGGGTTAACTTCACCATAGACTTTTTTCATACTTTTTTTTGGAGCAAAGGAATTTCCTTTGTAACTTCAGAACTCCTGACTAATTTAGTAACAATGCTTGAATTCCCTTTGATATTTTAAACTATCAGATCACCTGACCTTTTGGGATAGATAAAAGCTACTTTAATAAATTACTCTTGAAAAATACAGGGAAATCATTTACTATTTGGAAGCTTTTAAAAACAGGAAAACAAGCTTTTTGTTGTTGATGTTATGATGAAGGGGTGGGAGAGAAATCTTCATAATAAACAAATTAAACTTACCTTATAAATTTTTTTAATGTTTTACCAAACCCTCACCAAATCTGATGAAAATGGTATAGCAACTGTGGTCCCATTGGGAAAAATTATTCTCAAGATTGTAGCTCATGTTCCCATGTTGCCATGGCTAGATTAAGTCAAGGATCTAGGTTCTATACCCTATGTAACCACAATGAGTAAAAGAACAGAAAATTGATCTTATGAGAACCAGGTCCCATGTAATAATGCACCATTCAATACAGAAGAAATGAAACCACCATTAGGATAATGATCAGGTTTTCCTTAAATTCACTCAGGAGAAGAAAAAGGGGTAACAGAGATGAACGATTTAAATTCCCTATGAGGATGACCCCTAATAACGAGGCTGTTAAATAAGGGAACAGAATTTTGAAAAAAACTTAAACATTCATCTAAATTCTGATTGGACAAATAAGTAACATACAGATCTCTAGGAATCACCTTATTTTCTCAGGAAAAATAATACTTGCATAACTTGTAGAATGCCAATCTTGGCTTAGCCTAATGCCTGGTGTAAATAAGTACCTTTTTATTTTTTTAGCTGAGACTGCAACGTGACCATATCTCTCCTCTTACACACAAGCTCATGTGACAGACACTGGCACACTTTGTAAATGTGGGAACAGATTTATAAGGAGATTTTAAATGTTTATGTTTCCCAAAAGATTTTCAAGTAGAACACATCTATTCCGATATTCGTGCGGAAGTATGGTCCCATCTATCGGCAGGCATAAGTGGGTTAGAAACTCAGAACTTCCATGCTCTTCTGGCTAATTTTCTCAGTAAAGTCAACAAAAATGTGAATGTCCCTCCAGCATCCACTTGCCTGAGAGAAGTTTTTCTTTGAACTCAAAGCCTAAGTCATTTTTTTTTAGATGAATGTCGAGTCCCAAACTTTAGACATAATCTGTTCTCAAAATTCATATAAATTTTGCAAAATTTATTCAATAGCAATGATATCTGGGAAGGATAGCCCCTCAAAACATAATAGTTACCCTATTACAACATAATAAGGAATGCATAATTGCATTTGGGGACAATTTAATAATTTATTTAAGTACAATTTTGTAATGTCTCAGTTCTCACACAAACTTGAATATAAAAGTATTGAAATTGTAAAAAAAATTCTTTTTTTTTTTTTTTTTTTACTTTTTGACTTTGGAGGCTCTTTTTCTCCAAAACAGTAACATATCAGAACATCAGTGGGGACTAAGATGCCTTCAAAGGAAGCCGTGAATAAAATTCTTTCTGGGCTGGAAAGAAACCACCAAGAAACTAAAACTAGCGTTTCCTTTCCCGGGTGTGATAACCGACTGGAGGTGTGTGCGATCTAACACCTCTGAAAGGGAGAAGGCGGAGCCAGCCTGCCTTTCCCAGGACCCGCTTCTCAAGGGAGGTCCTGCCAGATGGGCTTCCCGCGGCGCAAGGTCCTACCGCAGCCTGGCTCTGTTCACCGAACAGCGTTGTTCGGAACCTCTGCCTGGGTTTGACAAGTTCCCTTGACTATCACCTCCCAGGAGTCCGGAGCGAACAGGGACAAACTGCCCTGGTTCGTGTTCTTCGCGAGCCGAACTGCCGCATGTGAATGCCTGGCTAAGGGGCGGCTGTAGAATAAACCCTATGCTGTGCAGCCAACCCACTGCTCTGAAAAGCCCCATTTCCACTCCACTTACTTTCTGCATGTGAGATGGCACCGAGGGAATTAGCTCAAGTCAAGAACAAACACATATATGCATGCGATCATTTGAGTCTACCACTCTCATACCATGAAAGAAGAAAAAGAACTTGGAAAGCCAAGGGGAAGAAATGACCTCTTGCTTTATATAAGCATGTCTAGGACAGGAATGAACACACACTTTCAGTATAAACATACCCAAGCATCCATGAGGACTGTTCTTGAAATACAGGAGATTTAAAAACAGAAGTTTTCACCCGGCCAGTGTGGCTCAATGGATTGAGCGTGTCCCATGGACTGAGAGGTCCCGGTTCCATTCCCAGTCAGGGCACATGCCTGGGTTGCGGGTTTGATCCCCAGTAGAGGGCATACAGGAGGCAGCCAATCAATGTTTCTTTCTCACATCATGTTTCTCTTTCTCTCCCTTCCTCTCTCTAAAAAAATCAATAAAAACATATATAAAAACACAGAAGCTTTCCAAATAGCACATATGTTTTTATTCTACAAAATGCAAAGTAGAATAGATAGGCAGAAATAATTTAAACAAAAAAAAAACAACAACTATATTTTCTCTAGTAGCTATAATTTCATCATAATTTTTATTTACCTAAATGTATACTTTTTCTGTCATTTTCCTTTAGACTCTCCAGCAGTTTTATATAAAAATGTTAAACTCAAAATGGCACAGAGCTGTTAGTTTGCTGATAAATGTATTTAAACAAAACAAGCAAACAAAAAAGTCATGCATCTATAAGTCAAATAATCTCTCTTTTTTATGTTCTTCTTATTAATAAAATAGATATATCTGCATAATCAAGCTAGCCATCTCAAAGAATCCAAAATACACACGCTTGCTTGGCTATTTAATTTTACTTCACCTAAATTATCAGTTCAAGAGTAAAAGAGAGAGAAAGAGAGAGAGACCTCAGTAAAAGTTATAAACCAAACCATATAATTAACAAGCAGCCCTTACCTAAGTGATACTATTGTTCAAAGAGCTACCATCTGCCCAGATCAATCTCCCTTACATTTACCCCCACAGTGGGCTCGGACTTTGCCATTACCCTTCTTCTACATACTGGGAATTTGCTGGATCCTGTGGACAACGACAAATGCATCAGACAGCCCCACTTTCACTGGGTGATTGGTCGAACTTATCTGCGTGACCAAGACAGGAATCTGAAAAAGAAAAATCAGATTGCTACGTGTTAGATTTTAATTTCATCTTATTTAATGGCTAAAATCAGGTGGTGAAGATGAAAAACTAGAGAGAGAGAGCCATGAAAATTAGGGAAGAAAGACATACAATACCTAAAATCACATCTATGTAGTGCTAATTGATGGATTAAAGTGACAACAGAGTTTTCGGTCCTACTGTCGGCTACTTGATGAAAGCAACGAATTCTCAGAGAAGCTAACTGATGCTGGACAATGAAAACTGCCAGACATATAATATGTGTGCACCATAAATGCCTTTAGTGCCGGCTATGCTCTCAGGAATAGACATTCTTCTTACACTGTTTTCCTAAAGGACTTAATTATATATTTATTTTCAAAGTTTAAAAAAAGACACCTTGTTTACAAATGGCCTTTATAAAATCTAGAGAAAGACAAATAAGTGCAGTGATAAATGTATATTGAATGATATCATTGTTGATTATTACGTAGTGATATTTGGAAATTGCTAATGGATGTGGAACTTCATCATTCTGGTTGAAACTCGTATGAAAAACATGAATTGTTATGGGTCATCTCAAGGTCACACTTCTAAATTTGAACCTCACTGGAACCCAAATCTGAATATGACAGACATTCCTAACATTTACAGCTTTAAAAAGTTAAGACACATTGAGAATATATGAAACATAGTATAGCAGTTGCAAATGAGACAAACTATTCGAGTTTATTTTATTCTAGACTTACAAGAGTCTAGATAATAATGACTACTATCTTTATTATCATTTTTATAGAAGTAAAAATGGGAACGAAACCATCTTCAATGAATAAAGGGACAAGAAGTAAAGAGAGAAAAATAAATGCACCAAAAAATCTTTAAGTAGAATAAATAGGTTGTGAGCCATCTGTGACTAATTCATTAAAGAAAATATTAGATCAGACATTGTTGTATAAACCTTAACAAATGGTATAGCAATAAGAAGAGAAGAAATAAACTGGAGAGACGATATAATAAGCGCTGTTCTGCTTATTTTTTGGCTATGACATCATAGAATTAAAAAGGTCTATTTTGTTGAAATTGATATATTAAGAGGAAATTTTAATGTTTCTGAAGTTATCTCGAAACATGTAAATGGAAGATGACATTTTTCCTTCATGTACTAAATTAGTTGTCTCTCAAACAATGTTATATGCCAATTTTACACCTGTATGCCCAGTTCCTAACCAGCATTAAAAATTATTATGATATTTAGACAACAAAAACAAAACAAACCATAACTTCTGTCCCTAAAAGTTCATTTACTAAATAAAACTCTGATTTATTAAGCTATATTCAGTATCAATTTACATGATACTTTTTTTTTAACCTCATCCAAGAACATTTTTCCACTTTTTGTTCAGATAGAGTGGGAGAGAGAGAGAGAGAAACATTGATGTGAGAGGGACATATTGAGTGGCTACCACCTGCACAACACAACCAGGGCCGGGGACAAACTGCAACTGAGGTACGTGTCCTTAGTGGGAACTGAACCTGGGTCTCTCTGGACTGCAGGTCAATGCTCTAACCGCTGAGCCAAAGCGGCCAGGGCCTGAATCCCTCTTTTTAATGGACATTATACTCACTCAGCTTTATACTCCATGTGGAGGAGTACCAGTATAAATGTAATTTACATTTAAGACAGACTCAGAGTCAAAGATGAGAAGACAAAAGGATGGAGAGAGTCTAGGAAAAAAAGCCCAGATCAGGTTATATTTTGTATATCCTAATAACACAAGATCATAATTCTTTTTATCTCTTTTTTTTTCCTCATCTGAGGACATTTTTCCATTTTTTGTTCAGGTAGAGTGGGAGGGAGAGAGAGAGGAACAGAGAGAGAGAGAGAAACATCGAAGTGAAAGGAACACCTCGAGTGGCTGCCACCCGCACAACCGACCAGGGCCGGGGACAAACTGCAACCGAGATACGCGCCCTGAGCGGGAACCGAACCCGGGTCTCTCAGGACCGCAGGCCGACGTTCTAACCGCTGAACCAAACCGGCCAGGGCTCATAATTCTTTTTAAACAGCAATATTGACAGTTGCTTGCCTAGAATAAGTACAAAGTCTTGGCTACTAGCATTTCTCACTTGCCTTCATCCCCAACATCTATGAGTTCAGTTCTCCTCTGCCAATGGTGAAGTATTTTACCAAATAATTCTATGATAATTATTGTATTTCTTTCCTTTTTTATGCAAATCATTTTATTGTTATTTTTTAATTGAATGTATCGGGATGCCATTGGCTAATAAAATTGTATAGGTTTCAGGTGTACAATTCTATAATATACCCACCTGTATATGATATTGTGTTCACCACTCTAAGTCTTTTTTCCCCCCAAACTTAAAGCAGAACTTGAGTTTTTATTGCTAGCAATTAAAAATTTCTATTATTTGATTATGAATATTACACTTTTCTACCAGAGTTTGTTTTCCGGGCCACATGTCTTGGTTCCTACACACCTCCTAGTACAGTGGCTTCCCCTTCTCCTCAGATTTTCCATTCTCCCTTTCCTATTGCTCTTCCCCACCCTTTCCCTTACCTTTCATCTGACTTGGTTCTCTCCACCTCTTTCCTCCCTTTCACTGCCTTCCTTCATATTTTTTAAAATACGATTTTTTATTGATTATTATTTTTTTTTAGAGAGAGAGGAAGGGAAAGGGAGAGAGAGAGAAACACGGCTGTGGCCGGTTTGGCTCAGTGGTTGTAGCGTCAGCCTGCGGACCAGAGAGTCCCAGGTTCGGTTCCGCTAGGGGCACGTACCAAAAAAAAAAGAAACATGGATGTGAGAGAAAAACATTGATCAGCTGCCTCCTGCACACCCCATACTGGGGATGGAACCTGAAACCTGGGCATGTGCCCTGACCCGGAATCGAACTGGTGCCCTCTTGGTGCCTGGGATGATGTTCAACCAATTGAGCCACACCGGCTCGGCGTTCCTTTATAGATTGTCTTGAAGTCAAACCCTCTCTGCTGGTGTTTTTATCGGTGGTGGGTTGAGTGCAGTGATGGCCCCAATCAATGGCCTCCTATATCCACACTTTTTGACTTTTCACTGGGTCGTCCTTTTCCACCCTAGCTCTGGGCTCAGTAATACAGCAAAAGGAGAGAATAGCAAACACGAAGCAAAAAGGAGCTCAAAACCTGCTTGCACATTTCCACCTCCTGTCTCGCTCCTCTGCACTGTCACGAGAGTGTACCCTGCTGGTCTGCTCAAGACACATGAACCGTGTGGAGAACTAGTCCCCGTTCGACAGAGATCACCCTGGACCAGCCAGTCCCCCGACACACGAGTCTGAGAGCAGCGGAGTCCAGCCCAGGCTAGTGGAACCACTGAGTTATAGGTGTCTTGTGAGAAAGAAGAAATGTAGTTGTTTTAAACTACTACATCTTGGGGCGATTTGTTATGCATCCTTGACCTAATTGCTTGTGTGTTTTTTAGGAATTAAAAGGTTAACATGGCCCTGGTCGGTTTTCTCAGACGTTAGAGCGTCAGCCTCTGGACCAGAGAGTCCCGGGTTCGGTTCCCGCTAAGGGCATGTACCTCGGTTGCAGTTTGTCCCCGGCCCTGGTTGGAATTGTGTGGGTGGCAGCCAGTTGATGTGTCTCTCTCACATCAATGTATCTCTCTCTCTTCCTCCCTCTCTCCCTCCCGCTCTACCTGAAAATAAATGCAAAAAAAAAAAAGTCCTCAGGTGAGGATAAAAAAAAAAAGTTATCATGGAGCTGGAGGGGAGCAATGGGGGGAAAGGGGGGTATCTGTAATACTCGCAACCATAAAGATAAATAAATAAAAATAAGAAATAGAAGTGTCAGAGGGGATGGGAGGTGGTAGTGGCAGGTCATAGGGAACTGTATTCCCTGCAAGCTAAGGCAATGACTTTCGATTTTATTCCAAGTCACAGAAGGAAGATTTTAGAGGGTTTTGAACAGAGGAGAGATGTGAAAAGGACCCCACTGGCTGCTGTGTGATCAAGACTGGAGGGCAGAGGGGTATCGGGGGAGCTAGTGAAGAGGGCACCCCAGTTGTCCAGGCAGGAGGCGGGTGGCTTGGATGACACTAGAGTGGCAAGTGTAGGAGGTGAAAATAGAAAGGAGAGGAATTCTGGATGAACTGTGAAGGTACTGCTATCAAGACACGCCACACATTTAATAGAGTGAGCAAAAGGGTGGAGCCAACAATGCCGCCAGGACCTGGTCTCACTAGCAGGAAAAACGGAGCCAGCTTTTCGCCAGGGCCACCATGTGCACACGTGCTCACTCAGCAGCAGGCCCGGCGGAGGGTGAGATCTGGGTGTGCTCTGGGTGAGCTCTGGGTGGGCTCTGGGTGGGCTCTGGGTGTGCAGAGAGCCTGTGCAGGTCTGCGGTGGAGTACTGAAATGTGCTGAGCTGGAGAAGACTGGCGGAAGGGTTGGAGAAGGATGATAACTTGATGGCCAGGTCACTGGCTTCAAACACTGTTCTTTACAACTTCGTAGAATTCATGGATAAGAGCCTAGGCTTTCTAAGACTGTGGCATTGTATCCTCATTAAACATTAAAATAAAAATGCATGAGAAGCTTTTGATTGCCCACATTTTCCTAGAAGCCACCCAGGCCTCTTACAAAATAATTACATATCGGGTTTTGCAAAAACCGCTTTCATCCATTGAATTCCATGACTAATGATGTAAAAGATTAATGAGAAAGAGATAAACAACTCCAGGCTTTCTCATAGATTTCTTTCTGAAACATGTCTGCCTGTCTCCACCTGATATTGTCAGTATCATTACCACTCTGTCTTCCTGGACTGTAATCTGTTTACTTCCAAATACCGAGGGCACGGGGTTGATCCGGGAGAGGGTCACTCACTCGCTGCCGCAGCTCCAGAGTGAGGCCGACCAGAGCCCAGGTTTCTGCGTGGGTCTGTCGTTAGAGACTGTTCAGATGCACAGGAGTCCAGTTAAAACCACATTTAAAGTGAGCTGTT